ACGTCGTCACACAGGATGTGAAGGTGAGAGCCTGTAGAAACACTGTGTGCTGTATACAGAGGCTCTGTCCTTATGTCTGTGACAATATGCTTGTCAGGCTTTATTATTTATCATACAGTTTTTGAAAGTGCCGCTGAAGTCGGTTCTTTTAATCTCTGTGGATCAGTAGGAAACAAGAGGCCTATTACGGCACTTCTCCTCTGCCACCAGAAACTGAGCCGTACCAGAGCCGAACCGCGAACTGATGGTTTTCCATCGCAAATTATCTGAGCCGTGTATAATGTTCTGTTGTGAATCTTGGAATTTCCCACAGATAATGATGACAGGTACGCTTTTTATGAATTCAAACCTTTACCTTCTTTTCTTTACTCTCCTTTTTTCTCTGTCTGTTNCTTGGAATTTCCCACAGATAATGATGACAGGTACGCTTTTTATGAATTCAAACCTTTACCTTCTTTTCTTTACTCTCCTTTTTTCTCTGTCTGTTCCATTCCCCAGTACTTTAGTGCCCCCTAGTGTCCTGACATGGATCTACTACAAGTCATTCCAATGCCACATCCTGACATAGCCCTGCTAAAGGCGTGACCAAACTGAGCTGGTTGCGCCATCTGATTGGTTGAAATGCAGGAAGATACCAGTGTTGTGTTGATAAGTGTGGATTATCTGAAGGAAAAAAGAGCATATTCTATATATTATTCATTATTAGTAGTATTGCACATTGCAATATATTGATGCATTCCCAATAACTTGGAACTTGAACATTTCCAGCCACCTAGTTAAAAAAGTATTATAGAACAGCTGAATGGAATGCATTTGTAATGCAAATTTACACAAGTAAATGTCAGTTCTGCTAGTGTTTGACGCTAAAATAAGACAGCGATCCTCACTGACTTGCTAGCAGAAATTAGCACATAGTAAATAATGAAGTGCACCATGAGTTTTACATCACTGTCACTCTTCAAAGTCGGCAACGCCTTTACCGAGTTGAACCTTCTGCAGTAGAAAACCGAACTGAGCTGGAACCACGCCCAAACTAGTCTCAGTTTGTGGTATGGCTTGGTTCCGGTATGAAAGTGGAAAAGCACAATTGGATACATGTCTCTGTTACATCAGGGTGGGACCATTCAATGTCTCTTGGGACTTTTCAGCAGTCCTGTCAGACTGAGCTCTGTTTTTGTTTCTCTCAGCCTCGACAGACACACACAGACACAGATGCCTGAATCCACAGCCTGTTGTTTGAATACAGAGATTCTTACAGATAAAATGCATTAATGGGTGGTAATAGCAACTCCAGGCAGTTGCAAACTAATAAGTCTAACTTTGATTACAGGTACAGATATGTAGGTACTGGAATATATGAGTATATCTGCAGACTTCCCAGGACGCAGAATACAAATGATTTTGGGACTGGATCCCTGCCATTTGTGCGAGAGAAATCTATCAAATACTTTTTGAGTTTTCAAACTTTGCACCCACATTGAATCTTCAAAATCTAGAAGTAATCAAATGTTAAGCACCAGCAAAGCGGAATTAACATTGCTGAATGGCAGGGAAGGGGATGACATTTCAGATTATGTACAAAGGTCATATTTATGAAGAAATGTAAACAATTCTAAAGAGTTTCAAGCACCAATGTATTCTATTAGGCAACTTTGTGCATGGACTGGAATGTGTCTTAAATCACAAGATTTTTCTCAAACAGTAAGTGCGCACAACACATTTTTTTAATACCGGCTAAAGTCAATATCAGGGGAATGAATTACTAGACAAAGATGGGAGTTGCATAACTGTCCAAATTTTGTGCAAAAGATCATCTGCATTTTTAAGAAGTTGTCAAACACTGTCACAGAGATGATGCTGCTTTAGATCTGGGTTCTGAGAAGATACAAACATCACCATTCTTTGGTAGAACGACTTGTGTGCTTAGGATCGTTGTCTTGCTGCATGACCCACTTTCTCTTGAGATTCAGTTCATGGACAGATGTCCTGATGTTTTCCTTTAGTATTTGCTGGTATAACTCAGAAATCATTGTTCCATCAATGATGGCAAGCTGTCCTGGCCCAAATGCAGCAAAACAGGCCCAAACCACCACCGTGTTTCACAGATGGGATAAGGTTCTTACACTGGAATTCAGTGTTGTCTCCTTTCTCCAAACATAACGCTTCTCATTCAAACCAAAAATGTGTATTTTGGTCTCATCCGTCCACTAGACATTCTTCCAATAGCCTTCTGGCTTGTTCACGTGACCTTTAGCAAACTGCACACGAGCAGCAATGTTCTTTTTGGAGAGCAGTGGCTTAATCCTTGCAACCCTGCCATGAAAACCATTGTTGTTCAGTGTTCTCCTGATGGTGAACTCATGAACATTAACATTCGCCAGTGCAAGAGCGGCCTTCAGTAGCTTAGCAGTTACCCTGGGATCCTTTGTGACCAGGCTGACTTTTACACGCCTTATTCTTGGAGCGATCTTAGTTAGTCGACCACTCATGGGGAGGGTAACAATGGTCTTAAATTTCCTCCATTTGTACACAATCTCTCTTACTGTGGATTGGTGGAGTCCAAACTCTTTAGAGATGGTTTTGTAACCTTTTCCAGCATCAACAACCCATTATCTGAGGTCCTCAGTAATCTCCTTTGATTGTGCCATGATACATTTCCAGAAACATGTGTTAACACTTTGATAGCTCCGTGTTCTTTAAATAACATAGGGTGTCCACACACACCTGATTGCCATCCCATTGTTTGAAGACACCTGACTAATTTCACCTTCAAATTACCTGCTAATCCTAGAGGTTCACATACTTTTGCCACTGACAGATATGTAATATTGGATCATTTTCCTCAATAAATAAATGACCAAGTGAAATATTTTTCTCTCATTTATTTAACTGGGTTCTCTTTATCTACTTTGAGGACTTGTGTGAAATCTGATAATGTTTCAGGTCATATTTATGAAGAAATGTAGAGAATTCTAAAGGGTTCGCGAACTTTCAAGCACCACTGTAGCTAGAGAATAAGTAGCACTGAGAGTGAATTTCACAGTGCCGTACTGCCCTTGAATGAAAAACATTAATTGCTGAATTTGTCTGGCATGTTTTTAAACTTTCAAAGCTTTTGTGATCCACACTGATGGGTCGATTGCCAAATTTGCCGGAATGTAACTTACCAAATAATGGCTGCCATTGTTTTCGCTTTATCTGGAAAGTCTTAGATTATGAAATTCCTCTAGTAATCACCTGATTCCATATGTTAGCATCATATATCGGCATCACAGAGGCTGCCATATTGTTGTAGAAGTAATAAAAATAAGCTAAATATGATTCATCAAATAATCCCAGAGGCCTACTTTTTTATGCTCTTTAGCAGTAAATACAAAACCATTAAATTAGTTTACGTAATTAATAATTCTTATATTTTTTATCAATACATGTATCCTTGTATGCATATTAAATTTAGATAGTTGATGTAAAGTTTAATTGGCTGAAATGAATAACCATTATTACAAAGAATTCATTACGTTTTAAGGGAAATTCTCTTTATGATAGTGTTAACGTTACTGACTCAGTTCAGTCCTGTTTCAACAGTAAGAATAAAAGAGCAAAATCGCCCCCTAGTGGCCTCATCGCTATTGATCGTTGTCGAAAAATAACACTAAAAAAATACCTCGACTGGGGTCACTAAATTAACAGCGCAGTATGTTTACGCCATTTTGAATCACCGCACTTATTTATAGTAGGTAACAAATATATAATAAAAAATATATACTTTTTGAAATCAAGAAAACAGAAATTCAGTGTCTGCATCGGTCAGTATCCCTGACACGCTGGTACAGACAGTAGTACAAGTCTAATGATGTCGTAAATGCTGGACTGATAAATATATCTTTTGCGTTAAAGCGAACCTTTTGTTTTAATGACTGAGTGATGAGCCGGTCTCTACACGCATGCGTCTGTTTTTAATCCTGAGGGAGAAATAGCACGCGCTCTTAGGTACAGTGCGGTATGAATCGATGCCATGGAGATGAGCTGGACTTCTGAAATAAGTGGCAATAATTACTGGGATTTTTGAGGTGGATGTTTGGCGTATTTAGGAGTACCTCTTATCGTATCAGCTGAAGCGAAATTAATTTTCTACCTACAACGAGATGCTCCTCAAGATGTCGTGTTTATTATTGTAATATGCGCACATTTAGAACACGGCGGCGTTGTTCTTTCTGTTATATTTCTTGCCGGTATTTTTGGAGCGCCAGACATTTAAGCCCATCCATCTTATTTTTCCGGTAGTTTTCCACTGATGTGATGCGATCTAGTTTATGGCCATAGCACGGACATAACCGAGTGCTAAATTAAGCAGACGCAGCTCCGTGTAAAGCAGCTCATGACAGAGCCGAGAGCCTGCTGACTATGGCACAGTATGCAATTCTGTATATGCCTCAGTAGAGATTAGGGTCATAAAGAAAGACCCAGCCTGGATCCCGAATCTAGCCAGGCTGATATTCTAATCTGCTTGAAATAAATGTCTCTTTACCAATGCAACACAAATGAAGATATGCTGTGGTAGAAGTTTGTTTATAAAGGCAACATCACTGTGCTGAGCTGGATGTTCTGCAAGACGTTTTAGAGACGGATCCTGTCATGGAGACTTCAGCTAATGCAAACGAACGTCATCTCAGCGAGATATAAATGTCTTTATTTAAATGTTTTCGGTCCTCATCCGAGTAGCTATTTAGCGCGCGGTAGCCATCGGCGGTGCCTGAGCGCTTTGTGCCTGAGGTCGAGGTCGTTTTCCTGTATTCCTAGAACCTGAACACAGCTGCGGTCTCAGGACATAAATGGAAGTTTACAGGCTGACGCTTCCACGCGGGGTGCTGAATCAGAGCCCAGAGGAGAAGAAAAGCCCACTGCGTAAATCATCATATCGAAAGCATCCACCCCGCTGTTTTCGCTCGCTGTCTTGGACGTGAGCGCGGCGCACATACCTCTCCATTTAGAGAGCGTGCTGCCGGCCCCATCCTTGTGTCGCTCTCCGTGCTGGAAAAACCGTACGGGTGCAACCACAGAGACGGGTATGTAGTGTTCAGCCAAGCGCCCCCTCCTCTCCTTCTCTCCTGGCAGGTGGATGTTTGGGGGGGGGGCTGTTCCAGTGGGATACAGTACTGCTGTTGACCGGGGAGCCCAGTGCCAGCCAGCCACACACCCCCAGAGGTTGTGGCAACGCTAAGGACCTCCATCGAAAGCCTGTTGGTCAAAAGGTCACTTCCGGAAACTTCTGGCCCAGGCTGGGTGGGTGGGGGGGGGGTCTTTCCTCTGGCTCGGTCCGTGATAAGAACACAAGGAGGTGAGGGGGGTGTCTCTGAGAGGGATTACCATATAAGGACCCCTGCCCAGTATCTTAAGGCAGTTAAATACACAATCTGGTCTTTGTCTGTAGGCACAACACTTCCTCTGTTTACATAACTACCACTCCGGCATCATGAATTTAATTAATGTAACAATGAAACTATCAATGTAACAAATCTATCTATCTATCTATCTATCTATCTATCTATCTATCTATCTATCTATC